TCGCACCTGCAGTTTCGCACCTGCACTTTCCCACCTGCACTTTTCCACCTGCAGTTTCCCACCTGCAGTTTCCCACCTGCAGTTTCCCACCTGCAGTTTCCCACCTGCAGTTTCCCACCTGCAGTTTCCCACCTGCAGTTTCGCACCTGCAGTTTCGCACCTGCAGTTTCCCACCTGCAGTTTCCCACCTGCAGTTTCCCACCTGCAGTTTCCCACCTGCAGTTTCCCACCTGCAGTTTCCCACCTGCAGTTTCCCACCTGAAGTTTCGAACCTGCCGTTTCGCACCTGCAGTTTCCCACCTGCAGTTTCCCACCTGCAGTTTCGCACCTGCAGTTTCCCACCTGCAGTTTCCCACCTGCAGTTTCCCACCTGCAGTTTCACACCTGCAGTTTCGCACCAGCAGTCTCGCACCTGCAGTTTCGCACCTGCAGTTTCCCACCTGCACTTTTCCACCTGCAGTTTCCCACCTGCAGTTTCCCACCTGCAGTTTCCCACCTGCAGTTTCCCACCTGCAGTTTCCCACCTGCAGTTTCCCACCTGCAGTTTCGCACCTGCAGTTTCCCACCTGCAGTTTCCCACCTGCAGTTTCGCACCTGCAGTTTCCCACCTGCAGTTTCCCACCTGCAGTTTCGCACCTGCAGTTTCGCACCTGCAGTTTCGCACCTGCAGTTTCGCACCTGCAGTTTCGCACCTGCAGTTTCCCACCTGCACTTTTCCACCTGCAGTTTCCCACCTGCAGTTTCCCACCTGCAGTTTCGCACCTGCAGTTTCCCACCTGCAGTTTCCCACCTGCAGTTTCCCACCTGCAGTTTCCCACCTGCAGTTTCGCACCTGCAGTTTCCCACCTGCAGTTTCCCACCTGCAGTTTCCCACCTGCAGTTTCCCACCTGCAGTTTCGCACCTGCAGTTTCCCACCTGCAGTTTCCCACCTGCAGTTTCGCACCTGCAGTTTCCCACCTGCAGTTTCCCACCTGCAGTTTCCCACCTGCAGTTTCCCACCTGCAGTTTCGCACCAGCAGTTTCGCACCTGCAGTTTCGCACCTGCAGTTTCCCACCTGCACTTTTCCACCTGCAGTTTCCCACCTGCAGTTTCCCACCTGCAGTTTCGCACCTGCAGTTTCCCACCTGCAGTTTCCCACCTGCAGTTTCCCACCTGCAGTTTCCCACCTGCAGTTTCCCACCTGCAGTTTCCCACCTGCAGTTTCCCACCTGCAGTTTCCCACCTGCAGTTTCCCACCTGCAGTTTCGCACCTGCAGTTTCCCACCTGCAGTTTCCCACCTGCAGTTTCCCACCTGCAGTTTCCCACCTGCAGTTTCCCACCTGCAGTTTCCCACCTGCAGTTTCCCACCTGCAGTTTCCCACCTGCAGTTTCCCACCTGCAGTTTCCCACCTGCAGTTTCCCACCTGCAGTTTCGCACCTGCAGTTTCCCACCTGCAGTTTCCCACCTGCAGTTTCCCACCTGCAGTTTCGCACCTGCAGTTTCGCACCTGCAGTTTCCCACCTGCAGTTTCCCACCTGCAGTTTCCCACCTGCAGTTTCCCACCTGCAGTTTCCCACCTGCAGTTTCCCACCTGCAGTTTCGCACCTGCAGTTTCCCACCTGCAGTTTCCCACCTGCAGTTTCGCACCTGCAGTTTCGCACCTGCAGTTTCCCACCTGCAGTTTCGCACCTGCAGTTTCCCACCTGCAGTTTCCCACCTGCAGTTTCCCACCTGCAGTTTCGCACCTGCAGTTTCGCACCAGCAGTTTCGCACCTGCAGTTTCGCACCTGCAGTTTCCCACCTGCAGTTTCCCACCTGCAGTTTCGCACCAGCAGTTTCGCACCTGCAGTTTCGCACCTGCAGTTTCCCACCTGCAGTTTCCCACCTGCAGTTTCCCACCTGCAGTTTCCCACCTGCAGTTTCCCACCTGCAGTTTCCCACCTGCAGTTTCCCACCTGCAGTTTCCCACCTGCAGTTTCCCACCTGCAGTTTCCCACCTGCAGTTTCCCACCTGCAGTTTCCCACCTGCAGTTTCGCACCTGCAGTTTCGCACCTGCAGTTTCCCACCTGCAGTTTCCCACCTGCAGTTTCGCACCTGCAGTTTCGCACCTGCAGTTTCCCACCTGCAGTTTCCCACCTGCAGTTTCCCACCTGCAGTTTCCCACCTGCAGTTTCCCACCTGCAGTTTCCCACCTGCAGTTTCGCACCTGCAGTTTCCCACCTGCAGTTTCCCACCTGCAGTTTCGCACCTGCAGTTTCGCACCTGCAGTTTCCCACCTGCA